CGCCAATCAGACACGCGGTAAAATGGCAACAATACGTGCGATACATGTCGACTCAAAACGCTTATTTCACGCGTCTACATGACTTTTTTTATAGAGGAAACCGATATTGTTTTAGACAAAGGTCAAAGTGGTCAAAGTTATATCTATATGTCAAATCGTTTAGCCTAAAAAAATTACATATTAACTGTACAATAATGACATTAATTTTAAGCAATTTAGGCAATTTAGTTTATTGAATTTTACCGTGGTAATCTTGAAAGAATAATTCGTTTTCGCTCATCCCAAAGAAAATAATAAAGCATAGAATCTTGAACTATGGAACGCAGAAGACATCCTGCTTTTATCTGTTCTTTAAAATCTAAATGGTCAAAAATTTTCTTCTTTCTGTCTACATTATATTTTTTATTCGCAGTAGGACATCTGAAATTAAGATAGACACTTCTCAAGAATTATATTAAACAACACCACGATATGAGCTATAAATCTTATTTGATCAATATACTTTCTTACAAAATCATATACATATATAAATTTTTAATTACGTACACATTAATATTTGAGACAAATTAATGAAATTGTAAATACTAATATGGACTTTCCTATTTAATATATATATATATATATATATATATATATACATATTAATTTTTTTAACCAAATTGTAATTATCACAATAAAGTAAAGATTAATAATCTGTACACATACATGAAATACAATGTGTTATCGAGACTAAACATGTAAAAATATTTTTAATCTGCATCTGTCATTAAAATAAAAAGAAGCTCAAAAGAAATTTTAGAATAAAGAAAGTACTTAATCTTCAATATCTCGAAATAATTAAAACTGATTGCATATAATGTTTTATAAAATTGTAGAAGATAAAAAGTTTGCACAAAAGATATCAATAAAAAATACGGTTATATTACATGTCCCAAAGGATATAATTATTTATGAAAGTTAAAAATAATATTATATAAGTAAATCTCGAAACAAATTAAAAATCATAAGAGAAATAAATGTAAAAAAGTGTTTTCTTATTTGAATATTACTACAAATTATTATAGATTAACATTTATAAATAATCATATTATCGCAAATTTTAAAAAATATGGAAAATCGTAACAACACGATTTAGTGATTTGATTTAGTGTTCTTCATGTTTTACACTATAAAATAAAGTTTTTTTATTAAAATACAAAAATAATTTTAAAAAATAAAAAAATTATTAATACATCAATAAACTTTTCCAAATTTACATTTTTACCAATTTAAAATAATTTATGTATAAAAAGCAATGACCAAAAACAATAGTAAAAACAGATTAATTTTTGTGTATATAATTTAAAATAATAATTAAACCTAGACAAAAAAATTAAGAGAAAAATTTTATAATTTCACTTTTTAATTCACAATGGTAATGAGCAATGTCATGAATTGCGAGCAATAGCAGGCTATCTTTATCAAATGATGCATAGCTTGGAATTGATTGATATCGTATCATGATACGTTCAGTCTTTAAACGCGTTAAGATTTTGGCTTTACTAGATTTTAATTTTTTACTGCATACATATTAAATTCTAATATCAGAAATGTGCTTAATTTATATTAATTCAACAAGCGTGTGCACGCGAGCGCGCGCGCACACACGCACACAAAATTTAAATTAATAAAAAGATAGCAATGTAATAATTTCAACTTTATTATTTTATTATTTTTTTTTGCGGGGGTGCTTTGTTGAGTGACGAAAATCGACCGAGTGTAAAATAAGTATAAATAAATTAATATAAAGACCTTATAAATAAAAAAATACCTGTAATAATATTTTCTTTCCCAAAACTTGTTGGGCAGTGTTATCTGCTGGAATCTTTTACATGTGAACTCTAGAGTCCTAGATTATCAGAGAGGCGCCAACTTGTTCCACTTTTTGATTGGCCATGTTAGAATGCAAATGTTACACGTACAGCCTGACAGCTGTCAATCAAATGTGGTTGTGTTAATATTAAAAGTTTAAATAAGTGCATATTATAATTTCTTGTTACCACGGTAAGTAGAAATGTCTTATATATGTTATATATGAAGAAATTAAGTTGCACATATTTAAAACATATATATGTATATATGTATACATATATAAGCACTACTGACGTTTGTGTCTTAAGATGGCGGCGGTGGACATGGTGGGGGTAGAGTTGGCGCCTCTCTGATAATCTAGGACTCTAGTGGACTCCAAATTCACGATATCCTCCAAGCTGATGCTCTTCTTTTCTAGAATGATGATAAGCACATCCTCGAGCAAGTGTGTTATCGTAGCTATCGGAAAAAGTTCAACGATACACAAAACAGCTGGCAACCAGCCTAATTATTTACTGGTTTCTTACCACTAATTTTATTTATATACTTATATATATAATAAATCACGTGTGAATGCGCAAAATTTATTGTAGCTTCTAGAACTGTTGCCATGCGTCTGTAACGTTCACTTCATTTGATATGGTCTAGACTAAATATATACTTTGTTCAGTGTTAGAAATGCTTCGAAACGTTAGACTTACCAATCAAGATAAAGAAGATAGATTTCTTGGTTTTGGTTGGTCGATGGAACTAAAAAGGTAAGGCAAAAATGAATAATTCTTTGGAGAAAAATTTCTACACTATTTCTTTTCACTCTTCTTGGGATTTATTTCAAAGGGATTTTTCGTCTTTCTGATTTTCAGTTGCCCTTGTATTACTATACAATGAAAGAATAAGAAAAGGAAGGATATGCATTTCAGGTAGTTTGGGGAGTAAGCAGATCGTTGGGTTCACCTTCTTTTCAGTTTCACTTGCTGAGTCCGAAAATCATAGTGAAAATAGTCTTAGTATCCAGAAAAGGTTTTGGGACACATTTTAAACGAAAGAAAATAACAGTTGATTTTATCATTTTCTCGAGCCATCTCTCGAGCAAATATCTTTTATTATGTTTGTATTAGAATCATAGCTTTTATTTGGAACCAAAGAATAAATTAGACTTTTTTTTATTTTGGATAAGCATTTTTTTTTTTTATAGTGATGGAAAAGGAAAGAAATAGAGGGTATTGCATATATGCATTCATCTCACAGGATACGGGCATTTTTAAAATCCGACTACGACGACATTTTTTAACATGTGATAATTTAAATGCGATGACTAAAGGTAAAATAATTATAAATTAAAATGACTTTTATGCTCCATAATTTGATAAGCATAATGAAATCTAAATAAAAAAAGAAAAATTTACAATATATAAAAACAATGAATCACACAAGTTGAAAGCAATAGCGAGGTATTCTTATCATTTGATCAGATAGCTTTTATCATGATTCAATAATTAACTTTCTATTATACTGGAATGCTCATTTATAAATAAAAGCAAATGTGACGAGAGTAAGAGTCAAACAATCTGAGCCTATTTTTTCTAATGCTATGTTAAAGAGAAAAATAAATGAATTATACAGATAGACAGAGAAAGAAGAGCAACTTGCTACCAGCTACTTCTTTTTTTTGTGTCTGCTTTCTCACAATGCACTGAGCATTCCGGTATGTATAGCATAGAGTTATCTGTTTCAGCGAGCATTTATGTATCTCGAAACTTCAAGCTTTAATTTTGATTATTTACTACAATCGCATTAAATTATAATGTCAAAAGCAAATTGTTAGGAAGTAATATGTCTGTAATAAAGCAACAAAATCTTAAATTTTTTACATGATAAGCTTAAAAATGCAATGACTTTAAATTTACTTTTACTATTAGTTTTTGCAATAGCGCTTTGTTTGGCGACGAAATCAAGCGAATAAAATTAATATAAAAACAAATAAATATCTCTGATAAAATTTCTTTTTCCAAAACCTGTTATTCAGTTTTGTTTAATGGAATCTTCTGCACATGTAGGTAAAACTTACGGTCTCCTTAAAGCTAATGCTTATGTCCAGAATAATAGTAATTATTTCGTTGGGCATTTTATTATAGCCATTGTGGAAAAAATTCAACGATGAACAGACGCAAAAGAGCTTTCAATGGATGTTATTTGATATTATACCATTAATTTAATTTATATACTGTTGTGTCTCTGAGGATTGCAGTTAGTTGTGCTGACTGTGAGCTCAGAAAACCCAATAGCTATATGTATATTAATATGAGTGCACAAAGCTTACTGTAACGCCCATTAGCAGTGTTGCTATGGGGTGTATATTGGATTGGACACAATACTTATTGGCCAGTTGAAAATGAGGCCCTTTGGTTGGTCAATCGTGCTGGTTACCCTAAGCACTGGCCGATATGAATGATTGTATTTAATTGCATTATGTTCAAATGAATCGCTTCTTTGTTGCTATGCGTTCACAACGAACTCTGGGATTCTTTTGGTTCAAACAGGTAGATGCACTTCATGTGTGTTATAAATGCTGCAGATTGTTTGACGGATCGATTAGAAAAAAAAGGATAAAGATTTCTTTGTTCTGATTGGTCATGAGTAATGAATAAAGATACAATGAATAAATTCTTGAAGAAAATTTTCTAAACATTTACGTTTTAATGTCTTTGAGATTTCTGGTCTTATACCTTCGTTCCAATGTTACTTTGTTTAAATTGATCATTTTCGGATTTCAAATATTCATATTTTATGTACATGAAAATTTGAATAGATTGTCATGCAATTGATAGCTTTCTAAAAATTCTGTGATCTTTTGTTATCTGAAATTGGCTGTATATAATAATTTGAGTTATGCTTCTTTTGTTTGTTTTTACTTCTTTTTATTCTTGAATTTTTCGTTTTTACAATTTTTTTTTCATTTTTATGTAAAAGACTTGTCGAAAATCTGCATTTATGAGATGTCTTAAAATTTTTTATTCAGAAAACTTTTCAAATATTACATTTTTTATATAATTCTAATTTCTTAAATATTTTACAAAACGGTGCATATTTTCAAATAAAAAATTTCGATTGCTTGCTAATCAATTTTGTTATATTTTGTTAAAATCTAATATATTCTTAATTTTAAATTGACAGTATTTTCAATTATTATAATAATCTTGACTTAAAAGACAAAAATGTTTCAGAAAAAGTTTTCTTATTCACAAAACATTGAAATCTTTATTTACAATAATTTTTTTAAATTCTTGCATATTAATTATCTAATTAAAAGATAATATCAATATAACATTTATAAATTCTAGTATAATATCTGAATATAAAATTTAATTCAATGACAATATCAGCAAGATTATTGACTAAGAAGTACGTCGCAAAATGCAATGGTACTGTTCAATAACGGTTTGCTAGGCTCTTATTTGGTTCGTAATAAAAACCATGGAATCTAGAAAAAAATCGTCCTATCTCTATATTATTAATTCTTTTTGGTGAACATATCTCTATATGATCTAAAATAAAAAAGATAAATTTTACATTACAAAAATGATAAGAGATCATAAAACATATGTGATTTATAAGAATGCTATTAATACTCATACCTTCTCTTACGTAACATATTTTATCATTTTCAGTGAGAATTATGTAATGCGGTTGTTCGTCACTGACACATTTTGAATTGAAACATATGCAAGATGCACATGTGCAGATGAGATGATTTTGGTAGTGATGGCATAGATATGGAAACATACGAGTTTTCTTCATTTTTGCTTGGAAATTTGGATCACATTTAGAATGCCATCCAATTATTACGCCTTCGTGATAAATGCTTTCTTTAGGAGGAGCGAAATTAGGTTGCGATAAATGCTTTACAATCTCTCCAATCGAAAATTTGATATTTTTATTTCTTGTATTATCCGGTTTTTCTACTGCAATCTGTGAAAAATATAATAGCAGGATTCAACCGATATCTTATCAAGCCGTTTCTAAACTATTGTAACTATTGTAATGACCTAAGTTTTAGATAAATTTATAATCAATATAATCTTTTTATATAGATTATTATTTATATGCATTTAATTATAATACATTATACGATGTATAATAAATTACCTCTATTGTTTCTGTAATGCTTCTGTATTGAGCTTCAATATCTATATTTTGTCGCTCAAAATTGATTGAATTTTCATAATTTAAGTAACACATGATGTCGTACACAATATTTGACTTCCACTTGTACATCATCCTATTTGTCAGTTGACTGGAATATGCTATCATTAATCGCATTTCCTAAAAAAACAGATACATAAACAAAATTTGATTACAAATAAGAACATAAATAAAAAGAAGTTTATTACTTTCATTCATTGCTTATTATAAAATGTATTGACTTTTTGATGTAATGTATTATTTATTAGATCTATAATCTTTATAATTGAGAATTTGTTCTTTTTATTAACAGTTAAAATTAATATAAACTATTAGAAAAAATTCCCAACCTGTGTATAGATTTGCTCTATGATAATATATAACTTTTTAAAAAGTGTTTTCCTTGGCTTATTCATAAATTTGGATATCTTATATATAAATCGATATTGTTTTAAACAGTTGAATATTAGGTCAAAGTTATATCTATATGTCAAATCATTTAGCCTGAAAAAAAATTACATATTAACTGTACAATATTTACATTTATAATGTTAATAGCAACTTAATATTATTATTTATTAATTTATTGAATTTTACCATGGTAATCCTGCACGAATAATTCGTTTTTGCTCATCCAAAAGAAAATAATAAAGCATAGAATCTTCAACTATGAAACGTAAAAGACATTTTAATTCTGTTTTGTTTGTATCCCATAACTTATTTTCTGACATCAAAAATACATAATTTTGTAGCTTCTTTATACATTTCAGTCCTGTTTTTATTTGTTCTTCAAAATTTAAATAGTCAAAAATTTTCTTCTTTTCCTCTACATTATATTTTCTGTTTGCAGTAGGACATCTAAAAATAAGATAGACAATTTTCAAGAATTGTATAAAACAGCACCACGATATAAGTTATAAATTTTATTTTATCACTATATTCTCTTTCAAAAGTATATGTATGAATTTTTTAGGTAAATATAGCGAATAAAGGACCCAGCCCCAATGACATTGACCTTGACATATGTTATCAAGGACATAATTCTGAATAAGCCACGAGCGACGATTAAATTAGAAGAAAAAGTTACTCAGAATTATGTCCTTGACAACATATGTCAAGGTCAAGGTCATTGGGGCTGGGTCCCCTATTCGCTATATTTACCATATATTTTAATTTTTTTAACCGATTTGTAATTATCATAGAAGAAAAGGTTAATAATCTGTACACATACATATAATACAATGTGTTACCGAGATTAAACGTGTAGAAATATTTTTAATTTAAACGTGTCATTAAAACAAAAATAAAAACTGAAAGGAAATTTTAGAATAAAAAAAGTACTTAATCTTTAATATCTCCAAGTAGTTAAAATTAGCATATATTGTTTTATAAAACTGTAAAACGCATAAAATTTGCATACACAATTTCAAAAAGAAAATACGTTATATCATAAGTCTCAAAGAATATAATTATTTAGAAAAGTCAAAAATAATATTATATAAGTGAATCTCGAAACAAATTAAAAGTCATAAAACAAATAAATGCAAGAAAATTGTTTTCTTCATGTTTCTTCATGTTTTAAACTATAAAATAAAGTTTTTTTATTAAAAAGCTCTAAAATAATTTTAAAAAATAAGAAGATTATTAACACACCAATAAACTTTTTTGAAATTTGTATTTTTAATAATTTAAAATAATTTATGTATAAAATACAAGATACATTATTTTAAGTGTCATTATGCAATAGTAAAAAATAGATTAATTTTTGTGTTTATAATTTAAAATAATAATTAAGCCTAGACAAAAAAATTAAGAGAAAAATTTTATAATTTCACTTTTTAATCTACAATGGTATTGAGCAATGTCATGAATTGCGAGCAATAGCAGACTATCTTTATCAAATGACGCGGAGCTTGGAATTAATCTATATCTTATCATGACACGTTCAGTCTTTAAACGCGTTAAGATTTTGGCTTTACTAAATTTTAATTTTTTACTACGATTATATTAAATTATGATATCAGAAACGTGCTCAATTTGGATTAATTCAACAGGCGCGCGTACGCGTACGCGCACAATTTTAATTAATAAGGTAACAATATAATAATTTTAACTTTACTCTTTTACTATTTTTTTTGTTGCGGAGATGCTTTGTTGGAGTGACGAAAATCGACTAAGTGTAAAATAAGTACAAATAAATTTATATAAAGACCTTATAAATAAAAAAATACCTGTGATAATATTTTCTTTCCCAAAACTTGTTGGGCAGTGTTATCTGCTGGAATCTTTTACATGTGGACTCCAAATTCACGATATCCTCCAAGCTGATGTTTTTTCTTTTCTAGAATGATGATAATCACATCGTCGGGCAAGTGTGTTATCGTAGCCATCGGGAAAAATTCAACGATATACAAAACAGCTGGCAACGAGTCTAGTTATTTACTAGTTTTGTAGCACTAATTTTATTTATATACTTATATATATAACAAATCACGAATATGAGCACACAAAGTTTATTTTAACTTCTAGGACTGTCATGCGTCTGCAACGTCCACTTCGTTTGATATGTCTAGACTAAAAATGCATTTTGTTCAGTGTTTGAAATGCTTCGAAACATTAGAGTTACCAATCAGGATAAAGAAGACAGATTTCTTGGTTTTAATTGGTCAACAAAATTAAAAAGGCAAGGCAAGAATGTATAATTCTTTGAAGAAGAATTTCGAGACTATTTCTTTTCACTGTTCTCGAGGTTTATGACTCATGGCTTTGTTCTAACGTTATTTCAAAGAGATCTTTTGTTCTTCTGATTTTCACTTTCTCTTATATTGCTATACAACAAACGAATAAGAAAAGGAGGGTAACATTTCAGATAGTTTAGGGAGCACGTAGGAATCGTTGGATTCGCTTCTTTTTCAGTTTCACTTGTTGAATCTGAAAATCATACTGAAAATAGTCTAGGAAAAATTCTTAATATTTAGGAGAAATTGTGAGAAACATTTTAAACAGAAGAAAGTAACGGTTGATTTCATTACTTTCTCGTGCCATCTCAGCAAATTTCTTTTATTATATTTTTATTAAAATCATGGCTTTTACTTGCACTTGCACAAAGAATAAATTAGACTTCTTTTTTTTTTATTTTGGGTAAAAGATTAATTTTTTTTATAGTGATGGAGAAGGAGAGAAATAGCGGGTATTGTATATATGTATACATCTCACGGACATTTTTGCAAGAATCTTACAAGAATCAAACGGTACAAGAAGTATCGAAAAGAAATAAAAAAATTTCGCTAGAGTCTAGAACGGTTCGGGCGGAAGGTTTGCGGAAAGAGAAACGCGGACTTAAAATTCTGGCAAACGGTAGAATAAACGCTTGCAGAATCCGTCCCGGTCCCGGCGATGAGGCAATTCGTCTATGTCAGCTGAATTGTATGAAGGCACAACAGGATTGAGAAACGCCGTTTTTCACGTGCTCGTGCCCGATTCCTCCGCGCTTAACAAGATCGCGGACGATGAAGAGATGACTCCCGATGCGCCGAAATTGCGAGCTTGTCCCAATTTATGTCCATTTAGACGCGTCTTAACTTTCGTCGGTTCTTGGCCACGGACAAAGGGACCTCCGCGAATACGTCTTTATTGAATTAATCGTTTAAGGAACTGGACGGGCATCATTATCGTGATACTAATGATGATCGTCGAATTGATATAAAGGACGATCAATTATTCCGAAGCCGAAGTTCGAAATAATATTCTCACAAATTCTGCATATATTTTCACTCAATATTTTGTTTGCATTTAAAAAGATTTTATTTTAAGGTAAATTTTTTGACAGGTGTATAATTTACATAATAAATTATCTTGATTACGAAAGAAATTAAATTATCCCAATGCAAACGTCATAGCAAATTAATTTTTGGATGCTTGTAAAATTTTTTTTCATGATATAATTTATACATATATTTTTTACAATACACAAAAAAATATTTATTAAATATTTATTTTTTATTTAAAACACTATATTAAAGTATTTTTTCATTAAGTATTTTTTGAGTTATTTTTTTGAAAGAAAAGGGGTGTACGGGTGGTCTAGGACACCCTGTATATATATTCAATGTTGTTACTTTTCAAAAATAGATACTCCCACAAGATATTTTTGATAGAATTCCCACAAGATTTGTTTTGCTACATTAACATAAACATGTATATGTCGTAGCCAAATTACATAATCCATCATTTTATAAAACATCTATGCATTTTATAAAGTGCAGCCATATTCTCAAGTCATGGTTGAAAATAAAATATTTTACAATCTGGCTAAGAATTTTAGTCTTTTTATAAAACGCTAACAAGCAACCCGCCACATTGTCAAACGCGACGATTTGTACATTGTTTTAGATTCTGGCTGGTTCATTTTAGTCATTTTATGAACGGCGCGTTTATAGCGACTTTACTTTATGTTATATTTGATAAAATAGTCATAATAAATGTGCTTAAAAATTTTTTTTCACGTTTATCTTTATTTTTATTTGTTTTCAAACATTATTTTCAAAAATTTTATTTATGTTACTTTTAATATAAAACCTTAATTGTAATAAATACAAGTATTCATAAATACAATAAGTAATAAATACAACAAGTGTTCATTCAAGCTTTTTCTCATTTAGAAATACACATAATTACTTATTAATATTATAATATAATTACCTATTAATTTTCTATAAATGGCTGTTCTACAAAGACAGTTCATAAAATGACTGAAATGAACCAGCCAGAATCTAAAACGATGTACATATCGTTGCATTTGACAATATGGCGGATCGCTTGTTAGCAT